GGGGGCATCGCTCCCAAGGGTTACTTTTCATGTAATGTCAGGTGGGGGCCACAGCCCCCCCCAACATTTCAGCCCTAGTGGCGCCACTGGTTAGTATAGGTTAGCCTATTGATTTATGTTTGGTAACTGAAACTGATCCATAATAACTATTAACAAGTTAGTTTTGTTCAGGACTTTAAAACGAGAATACTTATTGTTATCCATTTATCTACATATAAGTTATAACATGCGTAACTCGTTATTTTCAACGAAGCGGTTACCTATAGGTACTGAAGATTTTGGCGATTTTGGAATTAGAATGATAGTGTCATTTGATCAAATGCATATATATAATATATACATATATGTACCTATATATAATATTTTGAACTTGAATAATTCAATTAATTTTTCATAATTATTTACAATTTATTTAAATAATGTTAATATTATTAATCTTTTTATAATCAAGATATTTTCTAAGTAAATTTTTTTGTATAGTTTTTTGTCCTTGAATATTGTAGTAAAGGATATTTCTTTCAAATACTGCAGTTTTAGATTCTGAGCTGATCGACAAATGTATGAATCTAAATGTACTCTAATATTTAAGCCAACAATACAAAATTGGCTATATGACAGAATCGCCAAAGGTGCAAAAATGACATATCATTTGAGCTAAAATTAATATTTTATATAAGTAGTCATTTAAAAATTGTCAATAATAAATTGATAAAATATAATATAATTATAGGTATACTTCTAAATGTAATACCTGTTATTTAATATCTATTAACCATGGCACCCAGGTATCTACGATTTTGGCCTTGGTATGTAATACGACTTTTTTTTTCTTATCTCATTTTGGCGCTTATGACATTCACTGACAAAATTGGAATGCAAAATATGTCCTTTACTTTTGGAATAAGACGAAGATAACACAATAAATGTTATTATAAATAAAGGAGTGATATACTGGTATATAAATAGCGATAAAGGTTCCATACATAATTTAAGATAACTCCGGACCTGATAAATAATAAATACATCGCATCAAAGAGGTCAACAAAACTACCAGAACTGAAGTTGAGCGTTAGAGAAAGAAACGCATCACAATATGCATCGACTCCGTCACCCTAATGCTTTAATGTAGTAGGCCTTGAAGTATTTTTTACCAACTAAAAGTTTTTTTTTTTTTTTGGTTTGGACAAAATTCCCAAAAAAACAAGTATATTTCTCAACAAAAATGTATACATAAGTACTATTAATTTTCATTTTAAATATGTAAAAGAACAGACAAGGATCTAAAAATTATGATATTATTCTATTTTATAATCCAGAAATAAATGTTTTATTCAAACTTGGTATAACGAAATAATTCATACTTTTTGTCATTATATAGTAAGGCACTAATATTTATTCATTTTACTTTCAGAACTAGTTTTTAAACAAAATAGTCGCTCACACGTTTTTTTTTTCAAGTTTTAATACTTTTGCATTTGAATTAATTTGCATAATAAACATATTATACAGTTGTTACCTATGCATTTTTATAAATAATATAGATAGTCAAAAATTATAATAAGAATTAATGAGAGTCATAAAATATTATAAAAAAACAGTTAAAAAAATAGAATGATTTTTATTCTTAATAAAACGTGCTGGGATACTTTAAATTATAATAATTTTGAATTAATTGTATACATAATATAATAAATATTCCATAAAATTGAATAATAGTATTATATACTCAATCTATTTGATATTCAATTTTTTTTTTAAATTGAGGTTTTTATTTAAACAAGATAGAAAAGCTCACCCTGCGAGCGTGCTAAATACCCTGTTTCTAAACGTAAACAAAGCAATAAACTATAATTCTAAAAAAAGAACAACGGATCAAGTGCATCCGCAGAACAAAATCCACTTCTAGACATCTATAGGTATCTAAATAACGCTCTTATGCAGTTGCTGATTCGTCTTCGGTAATAGCTATACCTTTTCAGAAAAATTTCAAGTTCGATACAGCTTATTTAAATAATACGATTTCATACAATATTATAGAAAAATTTAAATAATAACTGTGATACGATAATTACTGTACATGCCCGAGTTTATCATAATATTATATATTGGAAAAATATAGAAAATTAACGGAATGTGCACATTAGAATAATAGATGAATGTTTTGATTAATTTTATAATGACTCATTTTTTTTGTATTTACTGTACAGCAGTGACAAATGAATAAATGACTATACAGTATAGTATACATAATACTCAATACTATGAACGTTGTTTCATGGTTAGTACATGGTATAGGGAAGGGTTGAAGGGACTTGTTTTGCCATAAGGTATCCATATGTTAAGTAAATATATGTTCTACCCTAAATTTATTGAACGGAGTTCATGTTTACTATTTTATACGTAGTATACTTACTACCGTGTCCTGTGACCGTGAAATGTCCGACTGCTCGAGCTCATAACATTTTTGTTATAGTCGGTAAATTAACGTGGTCTGCTTTTTCTGTCTGGTAAGTATAACATTTTAAAAATAATGTAGTTATACAATATTAATGTCGTTTAAAAAATTATATATATTATACAAATATTATTATGATATGTACCTATTATAAAAAATATAAATTGTATGACGTACCTACCAATCGGCTATCATTATGTCAATCATACATTTAATTAATACGAACTATTGTCATTAAACATTGTAGAAATCGAGATGAATCAATATTACTGTGAATATTATTATGCTTACTATGAACTATTTTGTTAATTATTTGATTTATTTTTATTATTTAAAAACCATTATACAACAACTTGGTATTTTAGTATTTACTTAAAATTGCATTGTATTGAACAATTTTTTTACAAAAATGCGGGTAAGTGGGTGTTGTTCTGCTGTACAGTAGGTTACAAGTGAGTTACTGTAATGAATGGTGTTAAATTTGAATTCAATGATATAATATCATTCTTTGTTTACAAAAAACGATTTTGAATAGAGACGGTTAGTCAGCCTAGGATATTATATATAATATTTAAATCGTTATATTTATACGGTAGTTGGTAAGTTGAATTAATATTATTTACATATAATCATATTTCAATATTTTTATATAATAATATACTTGAGCAATTTTAAGTAGGTACCCAAGAATAACATTTTTGAATTACAACAAAATAACTAAAAACTTTATTCTTGGTTACTCAATAGTTAATATGTAAATAGTTAGTAATAAGTTAATAAAACTATTGGAAATTTTAAATTTTGATCTCCTGATTGCATTAACTAGTTTCACTTTCCCATCGAACAAGATACTGTCGAAGAAAATCCATTAAGTCTTACTGCCCAAAAAGTTAATAACACACACAAAAAAAAACACATCATTGTAAAATCAATACATTCATTAACCGTTTTTTCCAAATTTTAGTCCCTCTGCCAAATTAATGCAGTCCGCTCCATTTCCAGTGGACCCAATAGTGTTGTCCAATAAATTTCATAAAAAAAAAATTTATTTCCAAATTCTAAAATGATAATTGCAATTATTTGAATTTAAATTTAAAACATTGGCACATTTCTTGAATCGATCGGATAATGCCGGGATGCTCAACTTCACGGACATCTATACTCCATACAGCGGCTATAGTGGAAAGTATTGTGTATTTGTGTAATACACTAGGTAGTTAACAAGTTTGTAGTGTTTTTTATTCCCTAGGAAAGTATAATTTTTATAAGCTAACGCTTAATCATGCCTTCTTCAAATCACTACAATTGCTACTCTTAAATCTTTCAGTTTCTCGTGTAGTCTAGTAAGCTGTGGCCTGTGAGAGTGGTTTCTCTAAGTATAATTTTGATATCGTGTCTTCTTAAATCTTAACCGAAAATGATTTGTATTATTCATTATTGTTATATACTCTTATAATAATATTTTAGTTTTAAGTTCAATACAACATATCGAATGTATATGTATAATATGTACATTTGTTTTTATTTGGCGGGCTCTTTACCTTTTTCCTTGTATCAAAAAACTATATATCTACCCTTCCCTCAGCCTGTTTAAAAATCCACCACGCTCAAAAGTATTTTTTTTTTATTATGTAGCACATTTATTATAAAATCAATAACTAATATTTGTAAAAAGGCTATGCGAATAAAACCATGTTGACCATGTTTTCTAATCAATTATTTTGTGGCAATAACTAAGTAAACAGTATATTATACCTATAATATATTATGTATATTATTATGAGTACCTAGGTAAATATTAGTAAAATTTATAACATTAGTAGGTAGGTACCTATTGAGCATCTACAATAAAAATGATCGATTAGTACCTTGGTCCTGGAGGCTGTCATATTAGTATAATAAATTGTATCGTTCACTTAATGTCAACATCCAGAAATAATTTACACGCACTACGCAGTATTCAACAGCCTATCTGTTTTGCATATTATAAAGTGTATTATTCTGTGTTATTGACATCAACTTTGTTTTCGTATACAAAGCATTAAAACTGTATGATTGTTAAATATATGACGTATACATAACATTTATTGAATACCTATATATTATTATGTACAAATTTAAATGTATTAAATGTCTGTTGTTTATAAAAAAATTAAATAAAAAACAAACAACTATGATAGGAATAGGAATAAAAAAAATGTGTTATTTAAATGTTAATAACATAATACATTATGTGTATATAATAATTAATTACCATATTATTTACATAATATTATATTGATTGGATAAATATGTTAAAAAAAAAATGTTTGATATCTAAACTGTTGTAAAATAAAAGAGCCAATTAAAAAAAGAGTGTGCGTTTTATTCAGAGTTGTGTTCAATGTCAATGCCACATGATTTCGTTCTATCGCTAACTGAGCGCGAGTGAACTAAATATAAGACGATCCGGCAGTCACTTAGTTTCTGTTGGCAGGGAACATTCGAGAGAGCAGAAAAAATAAAAAATAAATTCCTTGGTGTTATATTTATTAAAGGTTTAAACATGTGTGGAATTTGGGCACTTTTCGGTGTCGATGTGCATTCAATTTCTAAATATGACAAGACTTTTTCAAAGATTCAACACAGAGGCCCAGACGCATGGAGATTGGAATATGATTTGAAAGTGAAAGTAATAACAGAAAAAAAAATTAAATATTAAAACAATATATTATTGCAATTTTTCGAAATTTATTTTTTCAGAATGTCTGTCTTGGATTTCATCGTCTCGCGATTATTGACAGCCTTTACGGAATGCAACCAATGAAATTGCACAAATTTCCATTTGTTTCTATGATTTGCAACGGAGAAATTTTCAATTGGAAACAGGTAAACAAGTACCAGTAAATAGTTTAATAGTTTAGAAGACTTTGAAAAATAATATACTTGAGCATGCAAAATTTTAATTTTATTTATATTACTATCATAGTATATTAGTATACAGAATACCAATTTTTATTTTTAATTTTTAAAATGCTTATGTTACGAGTACCTATTTATTTTATTATTTAAATTTTTAAGTGAGTAAAAGTGGTCGACATTTTTTTTTGCATTTTGTTAAATTAAAAATTAGTATTAATAAATTGCAAAATATTAAAACTGTCGTTAAATGTAGGTACCTATTTACTTGGTTGTTTAACCCTACGTCTATAATAATCATTTGTAATCGTTATAATTTAACCAAAACAAAGTCCAAGCTAATATTTAGTTAAATTATTTATATTTGTATATTAGAAATCTCCTTATTTTTACAAAGGTCAATAATTTAAAAAAAACCTTAAACTAGTAAATAGCTGACACAAATTATTATTATTTTATTACAATATTTTTCACAATTTTAAACATTTAAAAATTGTATATACTAAATAACTATAACTATTATGATAATACCTAAGTATTTCTATTTTAGTTTAAGTGTTTGAACTTCCGGGTTTTGTCATATAAATTACAATATATTTTTTACATAATACATTTTATTTACGTGTAATTTGTATAATGTAAATAGCTTGGAGAAAAGCACGGTTTCAATTACGAAACTCAATGTGATGTAGAGAGTGTGCTACAACTTTATGGAAGTTTCGGTATTGATGAAACATTAAAACAATTAGATGCAGAGTATGCGTTCTGTTTGATTGATTCTCTAAAGAAAAAAGTATTCGTTGCAAGAGATCCATACGGTGTGAGGCCATTGTTTTACTTGGCGTCCAGCAATGGTATTTTGGGAGTATCTTCCGAAGCAAAAGGTAACCGCTGTCATTGATACTTGATTTAGTTTATTTAAATATTTTAAAATCGTCCTGCGCTGTTTGGTACTTAAAATTTAAAATTTAAGCACACATATTATATGAAGAATTGTATTTATTTTGTTGGTTTGTTATAATATGTGTAAAAAAAGATTGTTGATTAACAATTTTTTAAAGTATGATTTTTATGGTGATTAACAAATGCATAAATTAAAAAATATATTATGTAGGTATACTTAAAACGAATTTATTAGACCAATAGTTTAATAAATTTAATTTGAAATATTTTATACATTGGAATACCTACTCAAAAATATAAAAAAAAATATATGAAATTACAGATAGTATTGTTTATGCAGATTTAACTATTAATGATATAAAATACTGATTATTATAATGCTTAAGACTAACTCTATATATCCGATAAAAACACTTGCGAATAAAATTAATTAATTAGTGCTTACTCAAAGGTGTATAATATTCACACACTTTTTTTAAAGTTTAAGAATAACGTTATAAATACAATTAGTAATATCGGTAAAGATTTTCAACCCAGATCATTATTTCATCATTATTTATGCCGAAACAAAAATTAATATAGTTCTGTTGTAAAGTAATAGGTACATCTATAAAAAGCTATTATGTTAACTTTATCAATCGTTATTTTAATGAGACTCACCTAGTTATTGAAATTCATTCTTGAAAATTAATTCTTTCAAAGTGAAATCGCTATACTACTAATAAGCAATAACCTATAACACGCAAAGGTCAGTAAATCTTATTTATCTCATCCATTTTCCTATTATTTTATTCTTTCTTTAATAATTGTGATTAATTATCACCAATTATAATAGTTTACTATGTTTAATTATTAATAATTAATAAACCATAATTTTACTGCATTACATTTAACATATTGTAGTGTTAAAGTTTTAAGAACATACAAAAATATTGCTAAATAAAACTGTAAAATGTTTTGCAATACAAAATAATTTAAATTATAAAATTAATTTTTAAAAGGACATTTTCTTAAATTGTTTTCACTTATCTTTTACGTATATATTATGTATTAGGTATTATATATGACAGTTTAACACCTACACATAGATACGCTGTTGATGATTAGTTTATTAATTATTATATAAGAAATAAGGTGATATGTATAATGTATAATTTGTATACCTATACCTGACTTATGTATAATATGTAAAAGTGTACCTATATGTATTATCACTAAACTATTTAGCTAGGTATATGTTTATCTCTGCTCTCTGCTAATCGTTAAATGTTAGTTAAAAAAGTTTCGCAAAGTACACTTCAGATGACTAATGCTGTATGATTAAAATTAGTAGGTAATTACAAAATTCCAAATTTCTCTGAATTTCACAAATTTTCATAACATTTTAATTATTTTTTATACGTTTGGATAATTAATTGATTTGTTATAAAACATTTGATTTAAATAACAGAAAAGTTTTTTTTTCAGTATACTTATGCTGGATTGCATAAAAAATGTATTAATTTAATGGTTCACTAAAATTTAATGGACCAATCAAGGGCCACTAAATCATGTTTAAAGGATTACATGAGCTCACTATTGATTCATTATATATTTAGTGATTGTTCATGCAACCCAGAATTATAGTATTTAATATAATATTACAATAAAAATTCAATACTTATACGCAGGTTTGACATGTTTGGTCGATGAACTTGGGCTTACCGAATGGGAAATGAAGCCTTTCCCCCCAGGTCACATTGCCGAGTATAATATTTTGCCAGGCGGAAAACTGGAGTTGATCTCAATGAATCGGTTTTTTAAAATCGAGGAACCTATATTGCCGCCAGTACCTTTGGAAGAAGGCATGTTTAAAAAATATTTTTCGCTGACTATTTTAATTTGATGCTAATATAAGATTCTACTTCAGGTTTGACTGAAGAAATTGTTCATGCTAATATTCGTAATTTACTGACACAAGCTGTTGAAAAGAGAATGATGTCGAATCGCCGTATTGGTTGCCTATTGTCCGGAGGGTTGGATTCTAGTTTAATAGCTTCCATATTGGTTAAGCTATCCAAAGAAAAAGGTCTCCCGTACCCGATTCAGGTAAATGATAAAAAAATTTAAACTATAGAACACAAGATAAATATGTATAATATACTCATAATAACTTGTTGTGGATAGACATTTTCGGTCGGAATGGCAGACAGTCCGGATATATTGGCAGCAAGACAAGTGGCCAAACATATAGGTTCGGAACACCACGAAGTGCTCTTTACCGCCGAAGATGTGCTGAGCGTACTCGACAAAGTGATATACACGTTGGAAACTGCCGACATCACAACAATCAGAGCATCGTGCGGTAATAATATAATAATAATTAATTAGTAATCACTCATTGCAGGCGAGGATCCAGAAAATGTTATTGGGGGGGGGGACAAAAATTGGTTAAACCTTTTTATTTTTCGGCTTATACGACAGGGGGTCTATACCCCCCCCCAGAATCCACCCTTGAGTCGTTGTATCCATATAGTTCACACCGACCTATATAGCTTACCCATGGATATGTTTAGCCTTTAGAAGACGGTATACGCTACACGACATCACAATATAATATGCTTAAAACTGATTCTTACAGGGATGTACTTGGTGTCACGGTACATAAGCCAAAATACGGACACGGTGGTCCTGTGCAGTGGCGAAGGTGCCGACGAGGTGGCACAGGGTTATATTTACTTCAGGGACGCGCCCACGCCAGACCACGCGCACAACGAGAGTCTAAGGTTGCTGGGTGATATATTCATGTACGACGGTTTGCGCGCTGACAGGACAACGGCCGCACACGGGTTTGTAATACCTGCTAGATACATATTTCATATAATATTAATATTATAAGTACTTATCAGTTATTTGTAAACTGTTATGTACACCTTTAAAAAAAAAATTGATCAAATGCGTCAATGACTTATCTGCCGATTGGGATTTTCAGACTCGAATTGAGAGTGCCTTTCTTAGATTTGCGTTTTACACAGTATTTCCTGAGTCTCCCCAAGACGATGAGACAACCGCAAAACCAAATTGAAAAACACCTTCTCCGTTCGGCGTTTGACGGCACAGGATTGTTGCCGAACGAAGTGTTGTGGAGGCACAAAGAAGCGTTCAGGTATAATATATTATTACCTAGTTTATAATACATACTTTGTAGAACGTAGTCATATAGGTATTTTCAAGTAAAAACAACAAACATTCTAAGATGGCATTCAATTCGAATGTATAGTCTGCCAGACTGCCCGTCCTATTTAGCCAATAGGTTAGAATTGATTTAAAAATATAGGTATCTACGCTTATCAAGTGTTGGTAATCAAAATAAATTCGATATAGACTGTATAAACTACATATTATAAAGTTATTTAGAGAGAAATATGAAGGTGTCATAACATTTTTTATCAAATTTCATAACTGATGACCCAGCACGGCGATGGCACTATCCCTGTTAGAAATGTCTAGATATGGATCGTCAGCACCAATCATTCTCTGAGTAATGGCCATTGGGTGTAGCCTTATAAGCACAATTGTACCTATAACACGGTTTCCGGATGGCTGTATAAATATTTTATTTAATGCTAATTTTAGAATTGTATTACTATCGATACAATTATAAATAGGTACATAAAAGACAAGAAATAACTCCCAAGAGGGTGTGGTGATCCATCCGTCAGCACTTAAAATTCACCACTGATATATATTATGTTAAATATTACATTACTTTAATTCAATGAGTCAATATTATAAATAGGTATTAGGTAGTGTATACCTATAGGTCACGCCCGGTATCGGGTATCAAGTCATTGAGTTTTTTTTTTAAAGTTTTTTACCATATAGATTACGGTCTACTACCTAAAAGTATTATAAAAAATTTGCCTATATATCATATACCACAACACTATATCTATTACGTAATCGATATTCATTGACCATCAATGTTTAAACAATGTATATAGATAATTGACCATCAAAACGAGCGTGTTTATTATACTTGATATACATATAATATACTGTATGGTAAAATAAATCAATAGGTATTATACCTACCTGACTACCAAGCCAACCTGGCTACGTATACACTTAAATAAAATACAATTTAACACACGTGTTTAAAAACCTTCAGTACCCTCCCCCATAGTTAAAAAAAAAATCACCCAATGGCCTAAGTTGCCGTTAATTAAAAAAAAAAATACATTTTTTATTGTTGACCTTATATCCACTTCGCGACTCGCGTCATGCATAATCAACTGAGGGAAAATAATATTTATTCTTTAATATGGTATTTAAAGTTTAACTCACGGTATTATAAAATAATATTTTTACTTTGTTACCCCTCATATTGTTCCGAACTTACATAAATATATACCCGGTGCCTATATACATATACGATTTTTATTCCATAAAAAGTAACTAGATTTTTTCTATATAGATGACCTATTTATACCGGTGATTCATTTAACGTTGACACTCATTGACTCATTATTCAAAAAGTATTAATGTTTTTGAAAATAATTTTTTTACATAGTTGCAACTTGCAAGTCGTTACAAAATAAAGTTTTTAATTTTTTCAATCGACACATATAGCAAAGTATTCTTCTGAGAATTTTGATATATAAAAATCGAATTTAGGACCAGTAGTTTTACTAGTTGAGGAGTTATAAGTATTTAAAGTTTTGATGAGGGAAATAGTGGACCAACATTTTGTGGGGTGACCGCGCACCATTCCACTCCGTGCATCTAAACATTCTAAACTTTAAAATTTAAATACATATAACTCTCAACTCTGTCTCTTTCACTCTGAACTAAAGCTTTAAATGTTGAACGTGAATTAAGATTCACGTAATCACGTATTTTTTGTTCACACGTGTAGTTGAAATTTAAAAATCCGTGAATTTAATTCACGTGTAATTAATTAGTAAATCACAGGTATTTATTTCACATGTATTTAAATTTTAAAACATAATATTTACTAAACGTATTAAATTACAACTAAAAACCATAAACATTTTATTTTTCAAAGACATTTATACTTTTCTAAATAATGAGTGACGAGTGTTCAGTGATAAAAGAATCATCCGGTATAACGTAAATTGAATGGGAACAAGTTTTTCTTTTATTCCTGTTAAAATAAAAAATGAACTTCAAATATATGGTTACAGTGATGGAGTTACAACAATCAAAAAATCATTGTTCAATATTATCCAAGAATGGATTGACCCGAAATACACTGATGAAGATTTAAAACAAGCAGCAATAAAATACCAACATTGCCCTCCGAATTCAAAAGAGTCACTGTACTATAGGTATGTACCATTGTACCAATAATATATGTATTATGTTTATGTGTACAAAATATATACTATGGTCTACACTTTACACAATATAATATAATATTGTAACATTTAAAACATAATATAATTATATAAATAAAATACTCTTATTGAGTAGGAATGTAATTCACATTTGAATAATTTATAATATACTGATTGAATGGCTCTCATTTTACCATAGCAAAATTACATGTTTGAAATTGTTATTATATGGCATTTTTTAACTTATACATATTATGTTCAAATTTAATTAATTCTTCATTACTAGTTTTATAAATATGATGAAACAAATTGACCAAGAAATTCCTGCATCAAAGTTAAGAACTTTGATTTTTGTAATGATCCTTATTACGTTCATTACGTCATATTGAGTTTATGTTCCTATATTAGTACCAATTAAAATAATATGATATTAATATACCTGCTGCATTTTTGTATTATATCATTTATTTACAACGTACATTCGAAATTATGTTAATTTAGTTAATTTTAAACTGTAAACTATCAGCACTTTTACCGGTTTTACTTTTATCGGGCTATTTATAATGAATAACCAATGCGTCAATGAGCATTACACGAGGTACCTCAACTATGCATTTGCATGCAAACTTAACGTATTAAATTAATTTAAATGTCTGATTTATAGGGATATGTTCGAAAAATACTACGAAGGACAATCTTCTAAATTCATGCCTTACTTTTGGATGCCCATGTGGACTCAAGTAAAAGATCCATCTGCAAGATTTATTCAGCATTATGCAGCTAAATAATGTGCATTTTTTAAATTTTAATGTTAAGCTTTAGTATAATATACTGTATTATTTTAAACTTTAATTCAAAACAAAAATGTTTTTGTTTCGTAGGTATTTATATAATTATATTAAATCCATTGGTATTTTTCTTTAGTAACGTATTTTATATTGCAATTTAAAACTACTGAATGGTGTTAAAAAGTTTAATTGGAGTACCTAATTATTTAATAAGTATTGTTTATACTTTATACGATATTGAAAACTTCGAACGGATTATAATTTGTGTTTATTATAACCGTTTAATTAATATAATAAAAAAATATAATACAAAAAGTAAAAACCTTTGTTTTATTAAGAACAATTTATCTTTGTAAAATATTCTGTCTTATATTTTAAGAAACTATTCTAACCTCAAGAATTTTGAAGATTGTATGATCGTTCATTTAGGATGATTAGCCACATTAAATTGTGTTTCGACTTCCGAGTGAGCCAAATATCTGCAAACTCACTGAGTCCCAAACTCAGAATTGTGTCCCTCGGGTTTTTTCATGTTACACGAGTTGTGTCTGGTAGATATTTTGAGTTAACTACTTATCTACACTAGTTGTGACTGGTTGATTTTGTGAGATACACCATACACATGAGGTGTGTCTAGACAAAAAAAATTTAATACAATTTGTGTCAATAAATTAGTCTACTTATATAATGGACGTTACAAGGTAAGTACTATACTGTAAACATATATTCCAACAAGAATAAACGTTGTTTCGTCATAGATATTTGGTACCTATTTGAGAAATGACATGTGTCACAAAATATTGAAAAATTTCAAGCGTGGAATGTGCTTTATATGAATAGTGTAAAAATGTTTACAGAACATTTTTAATTTTAAGATGGTCGACTATCACTTTAAAATCTTTATAAAAGATAAACTATACAAGAATAACCTCTGGGCCGGATTGGTTAGGCGAGCTACCGAGAAAATCTTGGTGGTCCGCTCAAAGTTTGAGCCAGTCGTGTGAGTGTGAGTGAAAATAAATTCATGTTTAAAATACGATTGGCCACCTATAAGCTCGTAATAATTATAGACGTAATTTTGGGCCACTGAATATGTAAATGGGCCGCTATTATAGAAGTGAAAATCTCGGTGGGTCGATACATACCAATCGGGCCCTGTATAACCTATATGTATATTTAACGTACCTAGTACCTACACGGCTACACTTAATTGTGGATGACTACTACGTGTATTTGAGAATAAATATAAGTCCAATGTGAACATATTTACATATGTATTCAGCCACGCATTAAGACCGAGGAAAATCATGTAACGATGTAAGTCCTCAAATTTCAAAACTGAGAATAGTTTTTTTTATTGTTTTCTCCTAATGTCTTTTTTGGACATACGTTGTCTCTTCAATAGGTGGCTCATTTATAATAAATATTAATTTAAATTTAAAACAAAAAAAATTACGTATCTGGCAAATATGTAAATGAAAATATATATTTTAGACTCTAGGTGGAGCGATCTAGTTGGGCCATTTGGGAGGTCAACATTTAAAATTCCGAGTAATTTTCAAAAGCTCCGAGAGCCCGTACTTGTCGTCGACAAACATCTACCATGTAGGTATTATTATCATTGAATAAATGATAGACATTTAATATTGTTCACTAGATACGCCATGTACATAGCTGTTGTTTAATTATTTTTATTTTGTTATATTATATTATATTGATAATATAATATAACAACTATCTAACACATATTATTATCTGGGCATTTTTTTACCTATCTATATCCTTAATATTATAATATACTGTAATAATGTTATTTATTTAAAACATCGTTGATTATCTTACCACTATATTATAATATTTATGTTTTGTTTTGTTCCTGTCTATTAGTTTAAGATTGTAATATTTTTAACTAGGCTTCTTCAACGATATATTTTTGAATATCTATATAGAAAAAAAATGTAGGTATCGATGTATTGAAATATCGATATCGATATTCAAATTTCTCTATGACTATCGTAATTGTCAATACTCATTAGTCATACTCAATAGTCAATAGCCAAAATAATTATTTTTCTGTTATCCCGTGCTATTTGCAACCAGGAATATCAGATATATTTTGATTATCGATATATCATAAATACGGTTATCGATAAACGCTATTATCGATAAATCGTACGATACATTCCGATTATCGATACCTAAATTTCGGAAATAAAGTTCGCGATATCGATAACGTTGAAGAAGCCTATTATTATTAACTAATAAAATAGGTAATGCATAGGTACCTAGTTATGTTGTAAATAATATATTATCATTTAAGTTTTGCTAGTCATATACAATATGCTATATTAACTCATTATACACTAGAAATGTTTTTTGAATTCTCACAATGTTTGGAACTCTGTGGTATAGTGAAACTTCCATAAGCAGTCAGTAAATTATTGAATAATACAATATAATATATGTTAAATGATTTTAAAACATTTTAAACACTTTTTAATTTGAATAAAACCGTTTTAATTAAATATCTCGCAATAAGTAGTAACGGTAAACGTTAGTAACTTTACTATTAAAAAATATTTTATTTACATAATTTCAACTATTTTTAAGTCATTTGAGTTAATTGGTTAATTCTATTTAGGGTTTTGAGAAAAAAAAGCAGATTCATCTGGTTTAGTATTTATTATAATAATTGGCACTTGCAAATCATTTACAAATTAAATGTTTTGTTAATGTGACTTAAAAATAAGTAATGTAATAATTATTAATATTCACTATTTAAACAGGCTACTTTCAATAGTATTTTTTTAGAAAAAATTTTTTAGAAAATTTCTGTTTTTGAAATAAGAACCACTTTCCATTATTTTTGACTGTAATTTAGTTGATAATATTTTTTTTTTCATTTTGATATAACTTATTCAAAACTTGAACTCGTTGTTTCTCAGTTATAAAATTATTTATAATGTAAAATGATTTTACAAAAATATCAAATACATGGTAATATTGGATCTAGTCTCTATTATAGGTACTTGGACCATTTTTACAAATTATAAATGTTGATGGATTAATATTAATTACCAAAACGATTATATCGCTAGAGCCCCCAATCTTTAAATCTTTCAAACCCTTAACATGGATCTATTTTCCTTAGTACACAAAGTTAAACAACTCAAAAACTACTCGTTAGAATTTTGATTTTGACACGTCAACATTTTTTAAAAAATTGTCTTTTAAATTATTTACAGTTAAAGAGGGGAGTTCTTATTTAAAAAACAGAAGTTTGTTTCGCCACAAGACACATGCCATAAACCTTCTCCACAATGAGCTCTTTAATTTAAAAAAAAAATCATAACGATTGGTTCAATAGTTTCCGAGAACATAAGCCCCAAAGGTTTTCATTTTCACATTTAAATATATAGATATACTTTGTATGCATATATTATATCCCAGTGTTGGGATTAGATAAGTACTTTTTTATCTAGATAAAGATAAAAGATAACTAAATTCAAATCTATCTAGATAAAGATTAAAGTTTTTTTTTTTATTACATACTATAAAGTCTAACATTTGACAGTTCAGCTTAGAATGTATATTTTAGCTTGTACCTATATCATTTTTTTTTGTATAGAGACGAATTTATCTAGATGGATGAATTTTTTATCTTAGATAATTATTTAGATAAAACACAACTATTTATCTATATAAGATAAAAGATAACTAAATAATTATCTAAATAAGTCTCAACACTGGTTATATGACCACATTTCCATCAAAATTCTTAACTACACCTATTGTGCATTTAGTTTTTCAGGACTTAAAAATGATTAAAGTCTTATAGTGAGACTTTAATAACTCATAATACGTATTGTAAATGTAATTTGAAAACCTACATTATAAAACAAATACCTCGGGTATATTTTATTAAACCGGTTTATTCATTTATGCACAGAAATACACTTACCTAATGCATAATAATATGTTACACAAATGGAATATTAATATCTTATTAATATCTTCTGCACAGCAGGGTAACGGCGGAACGCTGCCGTGCCGGTCGTCATCGGTGGCGGCGGAGGAGGCAGCCAAAAATGTTCTGAGGTTACAGCATGAAACGGAGGAGGTGGCCAAAAGTTTACCGAAGTTACTGCAGGAGGCGGAGGAGGCAGCCAAAAATGTTCTGAGGTTACAGCAAAAGACGGAGGAGGTGGCCAAAAGTTTTCCGAAGTTACAGCAGGAGGTGGAGGAGGCAGCCAAAAATGTTCTGCGGTTACAGCATGAGACGGAGGAGGTGGCCAAAAGTTTTCCGAGGTTACTTCAGGAGGTGGAGGTGGCGGCCAAAAGTTTTCCGAGGTTACTTCAGGAGGTGGAGGTGGCGGCCAAAAATGTTCCGAGGTTTCCGCAGGAGGCGGGCCTGCGACGGGTGTAAAGGATGCGGACGTCGTCGGCGAGGTAGGTTTGTGGCATTGCGCGTTCAGAGTGTCCAGCTCGAAAAGGTTTTCTCCTGCCGACACATCATTTTCAGCGGCAGCCCCCGAGCTCGCCAACATTAACATCAGCATGTGGTTTATTCCAACGATATCTATCGAGTTTTTCATCACATCACCTACACGGGCACACGTCATTAGTACTCTATTATCTATTAACCGTTATTTTTCTATATTATATTACTTTCAAGAACCGAGACCCTTGTCTTCAATCTACGTAGCTTGCAACAGTCGGGTTTTTCGGTGTTTGCTAAACGAACGGAAACGACTAATGTATTACACTGTTATGGGTATAGTCAGGTCGATATATTATATAACATTACTTTCCGTGGACTGCATCTCTGTATTTTTCAGCAGATTGGAGGTCAAACGGTTCAAATCTTTTTTAAGACAAGACACTTCTAATTTCATCAGGCTGTCGATCGATAGGCGCTGATCGTCGGCCGTCTGTTGAAAGGTATACATTGCGTCAACCACGTGATGTTTCAACTCCAAACAATACATTTCAACCACTTTAAAGTTATGCTGAAAATCAAATCAAAACCGTTTATCAGCACTGCGATATTATATGATTACATTCGATTGTTCTAAAGCCGTTCTTAGTTTCATACTTGTAGGTCCTCGAACGCCTGCTTTTCCACCGCGTCCATATACAGTTCTAGAAAGTATGGAATTATATGAAAATAGTTTTAATTAAAAAATTATACTCAATGTCATATGGAAAACTGACCTCCTATTGATTTTACGATCTTTGTGTTGTCGTTCAAGTTTTCATCAGGCATGGTCCGAAAACTTCCCGAATCCTCATCAGACAAGGTCTGAAAAATAACAGATTATGGACTATGGTAAATTCAACTAAATTGACACTTATGGTAAATATTTGTACCTACCTATACGGCTATACCTATCTAAGCTAAAAAGTATGGAATCCTTCTGTGCAAAACCTGATATGTCCCCTTTTTCAAAAAAGTATTTTTACTGTGGTTTCCTGATCAGGAAATAAACTACACATTTCGGTGTAACAAACCGTTATGTCCGATTATTAGATACGGAGATAATATAAGCAAAATGGGCTTATCAGGTTATTACATTTCAAAGCAAGAACCTGCAGGTATGCACTCCAGTCACACAAGGTTTTTGCTCCGAAACTAATTAATATGTTGGTTATACTAAAAATGACAAATATTATAGAATTTAAACGTTTATTGTTATAATATAAACCTACATGATATTATGTATTATATTTTGTTTACCTCCAAGAAGTCTTCCATGTTTTTCATTCCATATCCATGGGCAGTTGGATTTTTTCTCCTTGACAATAGGAAAGATACTCCAGCTATACCGATGGAAGCGAAGGAAATTCCTATCAAAAATTCTTTCGAAAAATACATATTTTTACAGCAAATAGAGTTCAACAAAAACGCGTACAACAAAATAATATTTTATTGTGAGTACTCTGTTTATTAGTAAACCGTAGTGATGTAAATAAATAACATTATAATATCGTGTTATATTTTGATATTTAAACAATTCAACCAGATAATAAATTATTATACAATATTATAGTTTAATTTATAAAGTCTTAGATTTTTATCGAACTGCGTTTACAAATTATCGTTATGAAAATCTGAATATGCATAAATTACGACCATGCAGTGGCGGGCTGGCAATGGATGACGGGATGCAATCGCATCCCGGGCCCCAACTGAGTAGGGCCTCATGCCCCATATACATTTGGAAAAATAATTTAAATAAACTGCTTAAGACTTTCTACGCTTTCTAATCGTCGTACTCAGTGGCGCCGAAGCCATAAGCCAAGGGGGGCGGTCGCCACCCTTCTTTTAATGGGTGGGTGGTGGTCTCAATTCAAACATAACTTAATTTTATTAATTTGTATAATAGGTAAATTGAGTTTGTATTATTTCATTTGGATTGGGTTGAAGGGGTGGTGAAGGGGGTGGTGGGTAGGTACATTTTGAATTCCATTACCCCCCCACAAAAAAATAGTTCGGCGTCACTGCCGAGAGGCGAGGAATACAAAAAACAAAACAGGAATTTTTATTAAAAATTGGTTTTCGACAAAATCAATTTTAGTTTTTAGTGTAACTCTAAAACTAATGATCGTAGATACATGAAATTATCCCTGAATGTTTATACCTATGAGCGTTTTCTATACACCATAACAATTTCAAAATATTTTCACTTGTTTTGAACTGTTTAAGGACATTTTGAGTTTCCAATTTTTTTTAGTTTTCTTGTCTATAAATGTCAATAAAATGTTATTCGTTGGGTCAAAAAGCTTGAAAATTTATTTCAAAGGTCATATTATTGTTACAGTAGCAGTCAAAAAATATTAAAAATAATAGTCACAATTTTTATTTATAAACATTTAAAGTTTAAATTTTGACAAAATACGAAAAAGTCACGAAAATGTGCAAATTATTTTGAGTTAGAAATTTATAAAAACTGTTATTTTTAAATCTATGAATGAAAAATTAAATACAAGATTCTTTATAAATTCGTCTACGTTTATCAAATAAAAAATGTTTACCGGAAAGTCAAATTACATTTTTATGACCGTTTGAAGTTCTAATTACTACAACATTGGATATTCACTCGATTTTTTATGTAGTGATTTTCTTATTTTGTTGTAAATAAAAACGAATATATTTGTATGTATATTTGTATGTATATTTGTATACATATGTTTATTTTATCGTTTCCTATACTTAATAAAATTTTCAAAATATTTTGACTTGTTTTGAGCTGTTTACACTTTACGGACATTTTTAATTTTCAAATTTTTTAGTTTTTTTTTTCTATAAATTACAATGAAATTGTATTTGTTTGGGGTCAAAAAGAGTACAAATTTAATACAAGGCTCTTGATATATTATTACAATGTCGGTTAAAAAATATTAAAAATACATAAGGCACAATTTTTTTTTTATAAGCATTTTAAGTTCAAATTTTGATAAAATGTATCAAATTTAAAATTGAAAAATTATTTTGTAGTTAAAAAAAAAGTATTTAAAATAGTATTCGAATACAAAAAGAAGTATTCAAATACTTTTATTCGAATACATTTATTAGAATACTTTACAAGACTGCCCGCTTGTAACCTACTGTACACTATACACCAGAGCGATACCTCCTTTTACTTGACCACCTTTTTAAAAATTAACTTTTCTTCAGCCCTTTAAGACACAACTCGTGAGCCCATGGACGGAAATCCATTACAATTTCATGGGGCTAACATTATTAACATCAATGTGAGCGAGTGGCTTCGATCCCACATAACTAAAAAAATGAGGGGTTTGACGGACTTTTGGGTTTTTTTTGGATTTCCGCCAATGCGTGAGAACCCCTTTTTCGTCTGGACAAAACTCGTTAACTGCGAGCCAAATCATACCCTGTCTTGTGCTGGCTGAATTTCCTTCTAAATAAAATAATAAATATACTGTGTGGTTTGGACACATGAGTGAAGTTTGCAGCTTTACTGGCCAAAACAGACTAACATTAACTTGACTTGGTGTTAATATTAGCCCACGGTATCCAATTTTCTAGCCCTTCTGAATCCCTTATAATAATTTTTGTCCTACCTAGGCCCGTGCTATTGACGAAAATGTATAATAACATTATTCATAATTCGATCACCGCAACGTCATCTACCGCCGTCGGTTTGACTTTTCGACCAGTCCGTGAAGTACTTTATCTTTAGAAGACGTTTAGAGCCGACTGTGACTGTCGCTAACTCTGGCCGCTAGATTGCATTGCCATATGCAATTTGTATTTTATTATTATGAACCTATGTACAAATATTATTATTTGATTTTTATCATAATTCATAACCACTATCAATTACCTATCACACATACCTATGACCATAGAAAAAAGATTATGCCTATGACCCATCCAATCGTTCGCGAAAATGTGAAATTAGGTATGTTATGGGACATTAAAATAATAAAATTCCATGCCTGTATGACTGTATGTGGTAATTTGTATTCTTCGGTCTTCCTGTACATTATATTTCATATCACCTTTTAGATTCTGAACGGAGCGATGAATATTGAATGAAGTATTGATTTAGAATGATGAGGTTTTTCAATATTTTTTTTTTCTTCTCATTGTGTTCTTCACATTTTTGGGCATTTAAATTTGAAAATCATTCAATCTTCAACTTTGAGAGGTTTCTCGTAGCAAGGTCCGTACTGGTTCATTGTTTGTACTTTAAGTGGGTCAAAAATTCATAATTTTAAGATATCCATCACCAAATACTTTGGCTTTTTTGTGCTATTATTTTAACACAATTAAACAATATCAAAAATACATGACTACAATATATTTTGATAGGTGTTAAAAGTTAATTGTTTCGGTTTTTACAAAATAAATCAAAATCTACGGTTAGGTATATATTAATGTTTATCAACTAAAACTTAAATAACTAATCCCGTTGAAAAAATCTGAAATGTCTCCACTGGGTCTGTGTCAAGTATCGAGGTACTTCAAACGATTTAGTAAAGTTAAAATTGACCTATAGGCTGCAAGATAATGCTTGTTGAATGTTTATTGCATCATAACGTTAAAATCACACAATGTATTTTACATATCAGTATAATATTGTTATGCTTTACATTTATTATAAAAATATTTTATTATATTATCTATTGCCAAGTTATTAGAGCCTATTAAATGGTTTAAAGTGCACACATGTTACATACCAAGTGGCAAGTATATTATATTATACAACATACTTATTAGTTATTACTTACCTATCATAGGTACCTCGGTATTCGGGGATGCGGGCTACGTACTTTGGGTTATTATAAATTACTTATAACATCTACCTATATAGGGCTACATTCTATATTATTTTAGACTAGCATATATATAGTACTATAGTAGGTATTTAATGTTTTGGAGGGTAGATATATTTTACGAGTTCGATAAATAATTGATTTCACTGCTGTGTCAGTTGGACGATGACGTGTTGAAATTGGATATTATAACTAGTCCAATAAACATAACGATATAATAGGATGATTGTATTACTTTTTTGTAATACATATAGGT